TGCAGGCAGATCATGAGGTCAGGAGTTTGAGAGCAGCCTGGCCAACATGATGAAACCCCATCTCTACTAAAAATACAAAAATTAGCTGGATATGGTGGTGGGCACCTATAATCCCAGCTACTCAGGAGACTGAGGCAAGAGAATTGCTTGAATCTGGGAGGTGGAGGTTGCAGTGAGCTGAGATCGTGCCACTGCACTACAGCCTGGGCAACAGAGCGAGACTCCATCAAAAACAAAAACAAAAACCAAAAAAAAGGAAGGAAGGAAGGAAGGGAGGGAGGGAGGGAGGGAGACCAGGGGGAGATATTCATAATATATACATCTGACAAAGGGCCTGTATCCAGAATGTATATAAAGAGCTCCTACAGCTTAATAATGAAACAACCCTTAGTTTTTTAAAATGTACCTAACACCAAATCAGACACTTCACAAAAGAAAACATATGAATGTTCAACAAGCACTAGAAAAGATGCTCAACATGATTAATAATTGGAAGAAGGCAAAGTGAAACCAAATGAGATTCACCACACACCTTACTAGAATGGTGAAATTTTCATTTAAAAAAGACCAACAGTAGCAAGTATTGGCAAAGATGTACAGTAACTGGATCTCTCACAGATTGTAAAAAAGAGTGTAAAACAGTACACACATTTTGGAAAACACTTTTGTAGTTGAACATTCACTTACCAGATGACCCAATAATTCCACTCTTAGAAGAAGCTGTCACAAAGCTTGGCTTGTTAATAATAAGCCTTGTGGCCGCTTTCTGACTTGGGCGGTGAAACCCAGCCCCAAGTAATTGTGGTCGGGTGACAGGATGTAACTGCCAGAAGTCAGGGGGTAGCGATTATCATAATGACCAACGAGACCAGAGTGCCGGCCAAGGAAGCTCAACTGGCAGAGGGCTGTGGAGACAGTTAATGGAGATGGTATTCCTAGGGGCGAAACAGACAGGCATGCAAGGAGAGTACTGCCTGCCTGACACATGCACACATGCATGCAAACATACATAGCACACATACATATTAAAAAGAAAACAAGAATGAATGAGCGGAAGGCTGAGGGAAGTCACCCCACTCACAGTCATGATCCCTTACCCAGCTCCAGATTGGAGCCAGCTTCAGAGCTGGAACTCACTGACTATAAAGATGGTCTGATTCCCCACGAGTTAGGAACCTGCAACCCTAGGGCAGGTGTACACTGCAACGATTACCCCAGTCTGTACCAAAGGGACCCACTGCCATTTCCTGAATGCCATTCCCTGGGCAAAGGGTAATCCCCACACATTTCCAGGTCTGCTGAACACAAAGACACGCACAGAGGCCCAGCAACCCAAAGTGTCCCAGTGTCCTCTGGCCCGAGTGGGGCATGGGGACACTAGGTAATAAGTAAAGTCCTAGGCAAAGCCTGGCTTACCGCAGATCCTTTGGGTCTGTGGATGCACCCAGTGGGTAATTCCAGGGTCTGTTAAGGTCAAATAGGATTGACATACTGGGCAGTTTGTGACAAGTCCACATTGGGTCTGTGGCCCGTGGAGTTAATGGGAAGGTCACATAGAAGCCTCTGAAACTGCGCTCCCCATCCCATCAAAGAGTGGTAGAGATCTGTGCTTACTTTAAGGATCAAGGATATGAAGTGGGTGTGGCTTTGCTGAATTCACCACTGGCTTCTGCAGAAAGCCAATGGGCCCTGGAGAATGACTGTGGATGACTCTCAGCTCAGCAAAGCAGGAGCCTGCTCAGATCCACAGTGCCAGCCGTGGAGTCTTGTTAGAGCAGATTCCCAGGCCCTTAGGCACATGATGTGTGCACACGGACCACCAAATGCATCCTGTCCTATCCTAAAGAAGAAAGAAGATGAGAAAACCATCCGCATTCACAAGCAAAGGAAAACAGTATACACTCTTGCCACAGAGCTGTGCTGGTCTCCCATTTTCTACCATAATATAGTTCAAAGAGGTCTGGGCAGCCCAGAGAACATCACACGGACCCACTGCATTCATGACATCACAGTGACGAGGTAGGAGGAGCATGCAGAAG